TTCTTCTGTAACATATCATTTTGCTATGAGGTTTCACCAGCTTCAAAGATTCTGACCCACATTAATAAGAAAGTTGCTTAGTAAGCAAGTTCCCAAAGCAGGCAATTTAGAATGAGTAGTTTTAAGAATAGTTTATCTGGACCAGCAGTAAATGTCAAGGGTTATTCTAAATGTCAAGGGTTACTTACAAAATAAGAATAACATTGAAACCATCTAGTGAGTTCTCCAAATTTAATTTGTTCACTTTGTTGGTATTATTTTTTAAAAAATATGTGTTTTATTGATTTTAGAGAGAGGAAGGGAGAGGAAAAGGGAGATAGAAACATTGATGAAAGACAAGCATCGATTGGCTGCCTCCTGCATGCTGCTACTGGGGATTGAGCCCGAATCTGGGGCACGTGCCCTGACTGGGAATCGAACCTGTGACCTCTCAGAGCATGGTACTATGCTCAACCAAATGCACCGCACCCGACAGGCTGGTGTTATTTTCTTAAATGTTGAAATAAAGGTGGCAGGGTTCTTAAGTATTTCCTTGTTAACTTTATTTTTTTTTTTGAACTATGGGTGGATCTATTAACTGTCAAAATTCAAAAGACGGTTGAAAATTCCAACCTTGAACCGATGACATATTCTTCTAGACTTTAGGAGCTGCTGGAACCACGAACCAGAGGACCTACTATTATGATATTTTTCATTTTTTTGCATAGACTTACAATGATCACATCCATGCAATGAAATCCAAGGTCTCTGTGATAACAGCATTTTGCATGTTGCAATATCCATCTCCAAAAAACCCTTTTCTCATTTCTATGAAAGGGCTCTGATCACCAATTTGGTTAAGATGCCTATTTTGGATTATCCACAGATAAACCATGTCCAAACGTCCGATCTGTTTCCTTATACTTCTGGAGGACAGACGTGCCAGCCTAAAGTGCAAGCAGTTTGGTTTCTCCTGAGCCTCTCTCCTTGGCTTGCAGAAGGCTGCCTTTTTGCTCTGTCCTCACATCGTCATCCTTCTGTCTGTGTCCTAAAATCCTCTTCTTCTTATAAGAACAAGTATTGTTGGATTAGGGTCCATCTATCTGACCTGATTTCACTGGAATTTCTCCTGAAAAGATCATGTATTCCTATCTTTAAACACAATCATGTTCTAGCATTCTGGGGGGTTAGTACTTTAATATGTAAATTTTGGATGGAGACAATTAAGACCATATTATTGGTCATTGAAATTTCACATCCAAGTATAATTTTATTTAGGCTAATTTGAAACTGGATAATTATTACACTTTCATTATAAAACTTTTTTTTAACCTTTGTATTGACTAGCAGATTAAGATTCTCCCATTTGGAAAAAGCTTAATAAACATTTAAATAATTATCTTAAAAAAATTTCCCGTTTTAAAACTCTGTCTTTTTTCACATTTAACTTCAATTATGTTTCTTTTGTCATTTCAAATTCAAACTTTTTTTCTTAACATGTTGAGGTTGGCAGCTTATCTTTTGATGCCTATATCTTATAACATCTTCTTGATACTATATAAATAAACAACTTACTCTCAAGAAGCTATCCCTGCCACAGTATATTAAAATGCTTACAATAAACAGTGATTTTATTTATAGTTTAAATTATTAGTTACCTTGTAACTAATACAGTTATACTACAATAAAATGCGATACAATATGATACAACACAAAAGAGTTCCTTGTAACTTTCATTTGCAGAAAGAAGCACTTAGATTTGTAAACATTTATCACCTTTGAAGCTGTTGTGCTGTATTTGTGAATAACACATTTCTAAAGTTTAATAACTGTTAATTATATTTCTATAATGAGAGTAGTTTATGTGTATAAATTATAGTGTCCTTTAATTCTGAAGAACTAAGCATGTGACAATATCATTAGACTTTGCGTAATAATATTTACTTCTTTAAATATGAATTATGGTAACATTCAAATCAATGGAAAAAGTGATTGGAGATGTGATATCATTTATATTTAGGTTATTTTTCTTGCCCAATTTTTTTGTACCTTTGTTATTTCAGTTTTAGTCTCTAAATGTTAGTTCTTGCTTTTCTTAATATATTTACTATATGTTTATATACACAAATATACAGATAAATTCTTTATTCCTTTCACCAAAATCCTATCTCAGCATCACTGTTTTCCTTCAGGACTTCTCAATATACCCTACTGGTTGACTTTGCTATTTGCCCTCTTAAAAAGAAAGAAGGAAGAAAGAAAGAAAAGAAGGAGGGAAGGAAGGAAGGATACTAGCCCTGATGTTCATAGCATTATGAAAACCAATAGTTAATTTTAATCTAATTGATATTTATTTATTTCATTTATCTTTTCTAATCTAAAGCAAATTTTTGAGAAATGATAACTGGATCCCCACTACCAAGTGCGGTCTAAATTAATGTTTCACAGTTGGCACTGTGTACAAAATTTGTTTGAGAAACAATTCATTAAATGTGTCAGAAAAATGTTACATAGATTTGGGAGATAAATATTAGGAAAATAACCCTGTTTCAGTTCACAGACTTCTGTATATTTGAAAAATCTTGTATCCTCTTTGCTCAATAAGTAAAACATCACCTTTCTCGTGATTATTATAAAAAAAACTTCTGATTAAAACAAATAATTTCCTGTATTCTAATATTTTTGATACCTGCTCACATAGGTATTTCTGTTTAATTCTACATGTCCTTTAAAAAGCTAACAGGTAAATAGTTGGAAAAGTTAGATTTTTGTAAAAATTCTTGGAATTTTTATTGGACTGATAATCTTAAAGATAGTCAAATAACTTCTGGGTATCAGTTAAAACTCCACTTCTAATTTGAGGGGTTGTTGGTTGTTGTTTTGCTTCATTGCATCTGTGTGTGAATATTTTCTCAGTTTTTCAGTGTTCTGGTCTATAACTGTTGACTTTGTTTTTTCTTCAGGATGTTTTGAATAATTTGGGATCTTGTGAACTAGATGAAGATGATCTAATGCTTGATCTAGAATTATTAGAGGAACAGACTCTTCATCCACCTGGTAAGTATGAAATAAATGAACACCATTATGCAACTCTTTCCTTGATAAGCTATATATTGTTTAGGCTGCATCCATTCTTTTCAATCCCCAGTTTGTGCAAGGCGCTTGTTCTGTACCATGGACTCATGATTCCGGTGAGCTTAAAATATATTATGAAAATGTAAATCCTTTTGGAAAAGAATTAGAAATTAAAAAAAAAACAAAAAACAAAAACAACACCTGGCCCTGGCCAGTTTGGCTCAGTGGATATAGTGTCAGCCTGCAGACTGAAGGGTCCTGGGTTCAATTCTGGTCAAGGGCGCATGCCTGGTTTGCAGACCCAATCCCCAGTTGGGGGCGGGGGGCGTACAGGAGGCAGCAATCAATGATTCTCTCTCATCATTGATGTTTCTATTGAAAGTCACTATGTGCTGTAAAATGATTGTAAGGATGTATTGTTGTTGGAGAATTTTACAATAATGTTTTAGACGGGCAACACCTAAACTCACTCATTAATCTTAATGTCACTAAAAGAGTAACACCTAGACATTCTTTCCCTCTTAATGCCTAGAGAGTTCATAGCCCCACCCCTTCTGTTCATAAGTACTTAAGTCTATTCCGTTGTCTTGGTTAAACTATGATATTATGGGAAATATAGAGATTAGATCCAGCAACCAAATATAGAATGTGGGGAATTCTACAGGATGATTGGACTGGTTTCTTCAACAAAGAAATGGCACTATAAAAAGTGGATAGGTGTTGTAGATCAAAAGTGACAAATGGAATGTAACATCTTTGTAGGCATTCATGTAGAAGAACATAAAATTACCATAAAAGTATACTTTTGAGTTAACCAGGAATTTGAGAAATTATTGAATTATTATTTATTTTGGGGGTGTGGAAAATCTTTATTTTTTGTTTGTTTTTAAGGAAAACTTAAAGGGATGCATGGTTAAAACCATATGGTATCTAATATTTGTTTTACCTACAAATTTGGAGGTAATAATAGATGAAACAAAGTTGTAAAATATTGAAAATGATCAATGTTGTGGTGAAAGGTTTATTCATTAGTCATAATATTTTTTCTATTTTATGTACTTTTAAATACTTTACAACAAAAAATAAAACCAATTAATAATTTAAAATGATTATAGATCGTGTAGTTATCTCAGTTATGTTTGGTAGGCAACTGTGATAAAGAGTAAAAAATTACTTAAAAACATAAAGCCTTAACTATTTGTTTGGGAACAAAAATGAACATCTTTAAACTCCAGTTTCTTTTTTATAGCTATGTACTTCATTAATTTATTGTACAGAAAATAATGATACAGTAAATACTATGAATCTCATGAGTCTACTAAGATGAAGATAGCTTGGTTGGAGCCACTAAAGTGCCTTAGGAATCAACTGATTTAACCAAATTGTTCATAAGATAAATAGTGTTGTATTGCATATATGGAATGCAGTGCTGGTAAATGAGATATCCCTTAGAGTGAGTTGGCTTATTTAATGTTGCTTAGTAAATGGTCTTTGAAACCCTGTTTCACATTGGATGCCACATTATAGGTTTTGAAACACCCCAAATCTTTATTTAGCACATTAGCTCAGAAATAAGAATTTCTGATAACTTTACACAATTTATTTTCTTTATTAAGCAACATAACGAAAAGTCTTTCCAGAATATAAGAAGCATTATTGATAACTGATATTGATACAAACTCACTAATACTAAACATTTTGAAGTAATGGTTTAAATAAAAGTGATTTTCAAAAGTCTGAAACTAAAATAATGGTACCATAAATTCTACCACTTACATTATTGTAAATCATTAAAGGCTTTTTAATACCTTTGTTAGGCCCAAAATATCTACTTTTAGCTGTAGAGTCTTATTAAAGCAAAGATTCATAGAAGTTTATAATAAGGCCAAGATAAGTTTTTTTAAAAGATCAGAGAAGTGTTTTGTTTTAAAACTATTAAGTCAAATATTGTAGTAATTATCATATGTGACATTTATAAATTTTATTTAGTTTAAAATACAATTAGATTTGCAAAGACTAGAGAAATCACGATGTGTAGAAAATATAGAAATTCTGCTGTCTTTTTTACCTCAGTGATTTGCGCATTGTAGATGCGCAGTTGGTATCTATTAATGTGATTTTTATTTAAAATATAGCCAGACATCTTTGGAGATATAGGTACATATCAGAATTTTTAAAACAAAAATTAGTAAATTTAATTTTTTTCTTAGAGGAAACCAAATACCTTTAATTAATACATTTATTTTAATGGACAAATTTTTAAAATTTTTTAATTAAAAATTATCTTACATTTTGAAAAATGCATATATTGGATACTTCTCTTTTGAATGATTTAACATGCAAATAGGCAATCTAAAGGACAATAGCATAATATATGTACTACCTGCACTATGAGCAACATGAGCTACAATATATCAACAGGCCAGGTAAAATATCAGAATACCAAAACAAAAAATACAGTGTGAATTGTGTGGCTCAAGGCCTGTGTCATAGACCTGTGTCATACTTACACATTTGTATATGTAAGTATATATTTAATCATGCTGTTCAATTTTGTGTTTATGAGTGTACCTACCTTAGTAAAGATTGCTATTTATTATTGTAGTCATAATAATTCTGGACATCTTTAATATGTTTTTTTGAATTTCATTTTTTGCTACCTGCATTTTCATCTCAAAGGAATTTTAAGTTTACAGTTAGGGTTTTAAAAGTGTGTTGTTGTTGTTTTGTTATTTGCTTTTTAATCCTCACCTGAGGGTATGTTTCCTACTTGTTTTTTAGAGAGAGAGAGAAACAAACAAACACATTGACCTGTTGCCTCCCATAAGCACTCCAACTTGGTATTGAACTCACAACGTAAGTATATGCCCTGACTAAGAATCGAACCTGCAACCTTTTGGATATTATTATTTTTTTTTAATGAAAGCAAGAAAAGACAGTTTCAGAGAAAGGAAGTGTATGAATTAATTCAAAGTGAGTCCCACAAGGAGACTTCCTTGAGGAGAAAAAATAAAAGCAACTTTTCTAAATAATTAACTTTGATCTTGGCATTATCTGATTTTTATCTTTGTACATTCAAATCTAAAATCCAAGCTTTTAGATTAAAAAGCCTATGGATAAGCCTTCCAGATTTCTTTTGTCACATTTTCTTGAATTCATGCTTAAATTACTCTTCTGGATAATTTTATGAGTAAGTAATATGCATTGTGTTTCAAATACAGGATTATAAGTTTGTTTAATACCAGACATATCATTTCTCTTTTAGTAAAATTTATTGTTTTATAATGCATATAAATTTTTATAATGCATGTATGACCAGTTATTTTTAATTATAAAATATCAAGTGCTATCATTTGTACTTTGATGAATTAAAATATATATTACTGAACCTACCCAACTTTTCATCTCTCTTTAGTCTTTGAATCATGTTGTTATGGTCATGCTTTGGCCACAAATGAGTCTTGGAAGAAGATGTTAGCAGTGATGTTGGTTAGATATATCTCGAGTGTTTAAAAAACACACACACCACATACATAGTAACAAAATTTAATAGGTATAACACTCAAATGAGGGATCTAAAGTATTTCTTTATAGTGAAATACATGTTATAAACTGTGTAATATGTCAAAGGAATAATACCAGCTATACATGTTTACTTAATTTTTAATGTAATTTTACATTTTTGTGTTTAGGGTGTTTTTCCACTTATTGAAACATCTTGCATAATAATAATAATTTGAGAAAAATAGAGTAACAATAAAAGGAGGATAAGAAAAATAAGATGAAGTCATGGGTAATGCTGGCACACAAAATATATACTAGTATTACCACACTGAGTGGAAAATTACGTGATATGTTCTACTAGCATATGTGAAGAAAGAAACACAGCCAGTTACATGATTCAAATTATAAACTATTGTTCAGTCAAGCAATCAGTGCATTTTTTGCAAAGGCAAGGGAGGGTTGGGGGGGGGCGGTTAAGAGATCAACAGAAGGACTTGTAAGCATGCATATAAGGATAACTAATGGACACAGATACTGGGAGTTGGGGGGAGGGGAGTGAGGGCATGTGCCAGAGGGTAGGGGAGACCAGGGGGAGGTCAATGGGGCGGGGGGAGGAGGAGGCATATGTACTAAGGTATTTGTAATACCTTAAACAATGAAAAGAAAAGAAAGAAATTCTTATTACTAAAATCTGAAAGATATTTTGCTCACATGCCTTCAACAGCAATTTCTTCAGCAACTACTTTCAGTACTAGCTGGTGACATCATGCTCACTCAGTTGAAGCAGTTCTAAATGGTGACACAGCAGTTTAGCCAAAGCTCTGAACTTTATGAGGATTTCGCTTAATCTAAAAATGAAACTTAGGTCCTTGTCCATAGTTCATATTCCTGGGATACTTTTAATGTTGAGAACAGTTAAAGTACATGTTATCAAGCATTTTCCTCAGACAAGGTAAATACCATAGAGACTAACAGAACACCCAGTGTTCAGCACTGCCACTTCCTGATGAGTCCTCCAGAATGAAACCCTTGTGTAACTGAAAGATAACTCTTCTACAAATAGATGTGATCAAAACACCAATTAAATACCAAATAGCACACACTGTTCTATAAAGAAATACGAATTGGGGTTTTGGAACACCTACTCTGTAGCCATTCTTTTCCACAATAAACTAGAACACGGTGACATCTCTGTGTGGGCTGTGACGGTAAGGAGCAGCCTCACAGTGGCCGGAGCTGATGGGAAACATGTGCCTGGCTACCCTGACAGTGACGCATCATAATTCATCAAATGAGTTAAAGCCAAAAGGAAAGAAAGCTAAAACACATTTTGCTATTACCTGTTTGGAACATAGTCATTAAAATACGATTTCTCCCATTCTTTCCTTGGCTCCTGTGTTAATCCCAGGAGTGGGTTGTGAATAAGGTTGAGCAATTAGTAGCTGGAGACCTAAGTTGATGGGAAGAAAAACTGAATC